GGCGACGACGACGACGACGGTGCTGTTCGCCGCGTCCGCATTGTCCGACTCGGAACGATCTCGTTCCTGTATCCCCTATCCGCGAGGACACCGATAGTCGCCGTCGATACACATATTATTCGCGCGTATACTTTGCAACAAAGACTCTCCGTGTCTCCCGCGGCAATGTTCCCCGAAGCAACGCCGAGATATCTGCGCTCGAGATATCTGCGCGAACAATTGCATGAATGTGCGCGCGCGCGCGCGCACACTCGGTACGCAGTTCGAGCAAATATCTCGACACTGGACGTTGTCGATTTTGGCCGGCCGTCGAAATTATTCGAAATTTGTCAAGGCCCCCTTTTCGCAAGCCTCCTTCCAGAACGATGCGTTAAGTCAGGTCATGTTATGGCCTTATCTCCCGCGCGACTACACGGCGATGCGGAGAAACTCAAGAAGGCCCCGAAACGGTTCACCGGTGTGCCGTCCCATTCCGGCGGGTCGCTTCGTCCTTTTGCGGATTTAATTTATGGAGCGATTTTAATGCCTAAAAATACCATGCACCGTCCGTGTGTCCCGCCTCGAGATTCCAAGCGGTTTCTGGCCTTTCCACGCCCCCCTCGCCCTCCCGCTCTTCTTTATCTTTCTCTCACTCCGTTTCATCTCTCTCTCTCTCTCTCTCTCTCTCTCTCTCTCTCTCTCTCTTTTCCTCTCGTACCCGCGAGGTGTGCGTGTGCGAGTATCGCGTGCTCGCACACCCACAGCGCGTGTGTCGCTATCTCAGATGGAAGAGGAGACTTTTGCTAAAAATTCACGCTCGTTCACCGTCGACTCGTTCGTGTGCATTTGTGTATGCGCGTGTATGTATATGTGTGTGTGTGTGTGTGTGTGTGTGTGTGTGTGTGCGTATATTCGCGAGCACTCGGCTACGTTCGGACGTTTCATGCTCAGCCTTCGATCGAACGCGACTGAATTGCGGATATCATAAATCGACGATGCTCCGCGTATCCTACACGCTGCGGGCTTTTCAGCGTCTTTCGTCGAGTTACGCACGAAACGCCGAGCTGTACGTCTCTGGGAGAGGGAGGCGGGAGACGCAGAGCTCTAGGTATAATTTATCGTTACCAGTTGCATGCGCGCTCCTCTCCCGCTCCCCTTCGCCTCCTGCCGGCTCCTGCCTGCCCGCTCCTTCTTGCCTGTCGGACCTTCTTTTCGATCGCGTTTCAGATTTACCAAAGTAACCGCCGCGCCGTCGCGATTCGTCCACGGCGATTCGGTCGCGAGACCGCGGGCGAAATTCCGTCCGGTGCGGCGGCCCGATTAATTCGCGGACACACGTCGGTCGTTACAATCGACCTCGCGACAGCGATAAAGCCGTGCTCACGGCTGGCTAGGACGAACACGCATACTGCAGCAAATAGCGTGATGGGAGGAAGGGGGGGGGGGCGTCGGATTATTAAATTAAATATTCCGTAAAATCCCGCCTGTCCGCTATCCCGACGCGTTAATATACACTAAATTACCACGTAGAACATTATCCCCGGCTCTTACACCGATAAATGCTACTTATATCGAGCGCAATAATTCTTGTCGGATCAGCGGTAAATTATTTCGGGCCCTGATATAACGCCGTTCCACACGCAGTCGCATCCCTTCGTCCGATGAGTCTCTTCCTTTTTTCTCGCTCTCTCCTCTCTCTCTCTCTCTCTCTCTCTCTCTCTCTCTCTCTCTCTCTCTCTCTCTCTCCCCCTCTCCCTCTCTCCCTCTCTCCCTCGTCGGCATCTCGATCGCAACGACTCCGCCGATAAATTTCACGTTATCAGGGATATAATGCGGCTAATTAACACAACGGGCTGTAAAAGTTTATTACTCTTAGAGGCGACCGCTTGTGCGATCGATGCTGCGCGAATGAAAGCGTCGCATAGAGGAAATGCGCTCGTTACCGCGCGACGTTAATCACCCGCTCAGGCGGGTGGGCAGGCGAGCCGCCGCGTTTATACGACCCGACAGTTGACCGTATCATTGCGCTATCGTAATTCACGTCGAGATCACTCCGGCGAAAATATTCTCGCGCGCGCGAGGGCAGTTGCGCGTTGCGGTGCACCGTGTAGACGGCAGACGGCGACCCTCGGTGGGGATGAGGAATCGCGCGATCTTCCGGTATGATCTCGCGCCCGCGAGCGGCGCGAGGCATCGCTTCCTCGGAATCGCGGAAGCGGCCGCACCCGTAATTTCCCCGGGAAAACGGATCACCCTCGTCCATCTGCGCACACGCGCCGCTCGGAAATTGCGACGGTGCTCCCTCTCGGCGCGCGCGATACGCCGAGGTTCGATTTCATAATTCATCGGTCCCTGACGTCGCGCGATGCCCGCGGTGGCGGTGTTCCGATGCGGATTATTAAAGCACGACGGAAAATATATTAAGTATATACGCATACACGCGGCCACGTGACGCGTAGGTAAATGCGATAATGGTAAAGGGGCGCGGTGCGTGTGCGCGTGTACGCGCGCGCGCGCGCGCGCGCATCGCCGAGGTGGAGTCTGAGCCTTAGGAACGGTTATGCATTATGATTTACGTTCGTGCGCATTGGCCGCAGTTGCAACCCACTGGCTACTTCACGCGCGCGCGCTATGCGAGCGCACGTGAGCCACGTGCGTGCGTGCGTGCGTGCGTGCGTGCGTGCGTGCGTGCGTGCGTGCGTGTGCGTGCCCGCGTCTGGTAACGTCCGCGCGACATCGCGGCAAGTTGTCACTGCGCCCGGCTGGCGGTGGGAACGAACATGGGCGGGGGCGGAAACGACGTTGCTACGAGCTGGTAGCATGCACGCATGCACGCACGCACGCACGCACGCACGCACATATTCCGCGCAAAGCACTCCTGTATGCGCGCGAGCGGGCGCGCGACCCCGGGATTCTGTTTTATAATTAGATACGATTGCTCGCGGATCCGTTTTAATTAGCTTAGATGGATGGATCCGTTACGGGCGAGCGCGTAACGCATGGCCACATTAGTATCGTTAACACGCGTCGCGAAATTACGGCCCGCCCCGGCTGATTATATTCTTCGCGGTGTTCGCGAGCGATATCCTCGTATAACGTATAAATCAGTCGGTCTTCACTTCACGGCATGTTCGTTCGCTCGCTCGCGCGTTTCTATTTTCCGCGCTTCCCTCCTCCTCTCCCGGCCCCGCGCGCTCATTGACAGATACCTTACACGATCGCGCCGGAGACTCACTTTTTCATCATTCGCCGTGCGCAATGACGTAAAAGTGCTCAAACTATCGTCCGGCTGGTAATAGAGGTTGTTAATATGCATTAATCCGCGGGAACAGTCGCACGAGCGGTGTGATTTGTATCTCGTTCGATCCACCACCCCTCCCCCCTTTACCCTCGAATGGAAAAGGATTATTCATCCGTTCTCCAATCAGCGGCAGAAGTTCGAGTTCATTAGTCAGGTCTCATCGAGCACCAGAAGCATCGTCCGCGCGACTCGCCCCCTAATTAATCGAAAAAGTACACTTGTCACGGTTGCGTGAGGGTGCAGCGAGGTGCGAGAGAGAGTGTCGGTAGGCCCTCGTCGCTCTCGCGCGCTCTCGTTATCCCGCGTGACAATAACGAATTCCAAGTGGAATTTCAATTGCGGATTTGCCTGCTCGCGCGAGCGCGCACGTGACTCCCGCGGGGGTAATAGCGCTAATACCGGCGATTTTTTCCCGCGACGGTTATCGAGCAGCTAGCCGGCGCCAGAGCTCGCGGGCCTTCAGAGAATACCGGCCTTCGTCTCTCACTCACTCTCTCTCTCTCTCTCTCTCTCTCTCTCTCTCTCTCTCTCTCTCTCTCTCTCTCTCTCTCTCTCTTTCTCTCTCTTTCTCGCGCGCGCGCGCGCGCTCTCGCGACGAAGACGACGGTGGCAGCGGCGCCGTGGTCCGCGTCGTTTTATTCGCGGCGGAAACATCCGGCCGCGGAATGACGCGTTTCAACGCGGTGCGGTATGCAGCGTGCCCGCGTCGTGCTCCGTTAAATCCTACGTGCTATCTCATTGGAGCCTGGCTGGCCGGCGCATTCGCGACCGATAGCGCCGTCGATTCGGATGCCAGGGAGGACTCTGAAGCCCGTCCTACATTAGTCGCAAGGACACAGAACGCAAGTCGCAAGTTGTAGGAATCCACCAATCACAGTCGAATATTCTCTTAACATACGACTATGATTGGTGGATTTCTACGACTTGCGACTTGCGTTCTGTGTCTTGCGACTAATGTAGAACGAGCTTCAGAGATACACGCGGCTCGCTCGAATTTTGCAATGCAGATCCGCGTCGAGAGTGATACGCCCCGTACGATATAGCCGCGGCGTGCGCTGATGCGTGCCGGCCCGAGGACGAGCGCGACGCGCAAGGATGCGCGTGAGAAGCGGCGCTTGAGAGAAACGAGGGGCGAGTCGTCGTCGCACCGACGCCTCGAAATATATTCCCGGGCCGGATGTCGCGACGCTGGTGGATTCTATAACGCTTTCATTGACGTTGGTTATTTAAACTGGTTTGTAAACTAGTACAAACACATGTGATCGTCTTAAAAAGCGTCCTCGCGAATTAATCGGCTTTTACGACGGGTGGTCTGGCGTCGTCGCACCACTCGGACGATTCGTTTGAGGAAATTGAAATGGCGATTTCTCCTTAGAGAGAACGACGAGGTAGATCGTCGGGGTGAGGATTTGTCAGTTTCGTGCGGCTGATATTTTTGCGTCCGATATTTTTGGCAGTGTTCGCTGCTGCTTTTTATATTCTGCATTTATGCGAGCAGGATGTGCTGTCTAGGATGCAGTCGATAAATCGCGAACGCGATTTAAAGGATCCTGATATTTGCTGTGTTTTGTATCTTCGACTCTAATTGAAATCCGTTTATTATTAAATTTGGGGTGAGAAAGATATTCAGTGGAAATTTGTGCATCCTCACTCTTCATGTGGACCGAATAATCTCTCTACTATTGCGGTTAATTAGGGAAATTACTTTTTTTTGTTTCAGATCCGGCAAAGATGCGATTCTGACGGACGCGGCACTGAAGGATCCGGTTCAGGCCCGAGCGGGACCGGCTCGAAGGTGAGTTCGCAGATCCCCTGTACTTTCCCACTTAACCCTTCGCGATCGAAAGGTGGTACAAAGTCGTCCAAATAATTCGAGTCACGATCGCAAATGGCTAACCCCATTCGCGCTAGCGCTCGTCCGTCCGTGCCTCCAGCCGGTAAAATTCCATTTTTTGTTACAGACGCGGATGGCAGAAAACGCGGCCGGTCCCGAGTTCCGGGCTGATCGGTGAGTGAGATAAATGGTACAAACATTTCTGGTGATGGGCTCTTGCGTGTTTTTTATGAATACCTGACCGTTGAGCGAGGCGTAATCGGCCTCTCCTCCGCGTTGGCTCCGGCCAGCAGAGGACTTCGCGAAAATACGCATTTTTCGTAGGGAGGGGGAAGGAAGGAAACGACTCACATTGCGTGGGCGGGCTATTGGCATGCGTTACGGAAAATACGTGTATATTGCAAAATACGATTACTGCAGAGTCATGAGCATGCCGTGATAAATATTAATGGTCGCTAATACGCCGTCGTGTCGTATCGAGTATTAGTTTTCCGTACCGCCAGCGTGCCCGCGCAGTCGCTCCTTTTGCTCGTGCGGCTGTAATTTCTCTCGCGATAAAATAATCGCGAGACAGAATCAGCATATCGACGACGCGACTGTCTAGCTCGCAGCACATGCGCTGCGGCAATTTATTCGTGCGCTAAATGGATCTACGTGACCGGATTATAAGACGCACGGCCACTGGCGCGACTAAAATACTTCCTGAGCGAGTTCTGAGGACGTTTCCTGACATCTTGCACGCATCAGGCAGCAGATAATGCCCGGCAAAAATCAGCGCTCGACCGCGCGAGTCTGTCACTGCCTCATTAAATCTCATTTACTCCCCCCCCCCCCGCGGTCCCTCTGCTCTCCCCAGCCCCCACCTCGAGTCCCATCCCCTGTGAACAAAACGAACACGATTGTCAGCGCGGAAGGAAAAATTCGACAGCCTTCGCACTTGTCTCGGCGAGCGCGCGAGTCTTATCGAGCCTCGGCTATCGCGCGTAAATACCGCTATTATAAGAATTTAATCCGACAGGCAATCTCTCTCGCGGCGTGCGCGCCGCCACCCGGAAGTCTGCGCCGCGGCGCGTCTCTCACGCTACGTGATCCTCGCATGCTTCTCCGGAAACGACGGATTCGTCGAATTGACGTTTAGATTAAGCCCGAGCGCTCGTCGCACGATCGCCGTGATCAAATGCGTTCCTGTCGCGTACATGCGCGCGCCCGCGCGATTTTTCAGACGAGTCGGCTGATATCGGGACGAGCCGAGCGTGTGCGCTTTGCATTGCAAAGTATAAAGAAGCGCAGCGGACACGCGCGCGACGGATGACACGCGCATCGGCCCGCCGCCACGTCGCTTCGCATCGCTTCGCATCGCTTCGCGTCGCGTCGCGTCGCGTCGCGTCGCGTCGCGTGGCGTCGCTTCGCATCGCGTCGCATCGCGCCGTGTTCGCACGCACAAGAAGCCATGCACCATCTCCTTCCGCTATTGATATTCAGATTAGCTCCCTCGCGCTCCGCCCGCCTCGCTATAATTCAGCGCATCCTTTTGCTCGTCACCGGCCGATTTCTATATTCGCCAGCAATTAGCGTGGCGACCGCCGCGCCGCCGCGTGTCCGGCGGCCGGGCGGAGGAAAGCGGAGCGAGGGGGGAAAAGGAATCGCGTGCGATTTTTCGCGGGACGATCGACGATCGGCCTCGCCCGGCTCACGACCCAAGCCGGCGACATCCACAAGCCGAGGATCGTCGTTTATCAGTCCTTTATCTCGCGGACCGGTTCGTCGCGGGAGTCTCGTAAGAACGCGAGCGCGCCCCTCCCGCCCCCCTCCCCCGCTCGCGTCGTCGAAGCTCTTCGCGTCCGTTCCGTTTATAACGCGTAAATAACGTTGACTTCATAAAGCACATTACAGCGCGAAATCAACGGCGCTCGCCGCCGTAAATCAAGCTCGCGCTATCCGCCGGCCATGGACCCGCGGGCATGTCGCTAATGAAAATTTGTAGAACGTTGTTATCGGCAGCAGAGCCGACCGCTGGCGTGACGCATCGCTCGCTCGCGAGCGTCCCGGGGGAGATCCCGCGCGACGACCGACGATGCTCGGCGAAAAGTCCACGCGAACAACTATATAACTCGATCCGATATTTCATTCTGCCGATAAGATACGCGGGAACGATCGCGCGGGCAGGGTTGCACGCTCGCGCTCGCGCGCTCGCTGCTAGCTTTTCGCTCGAAAGGGCAGCGGAACGGCGCCCATCGCAGTCTCGCGCGCGCGAGTCTGGGGATGCTCGATATGACGAGAGAGAGAGAGAGAGAGAGAGAGAGAGAGAGAGAGAGAGACGCGCGAAAGTATGTTTTTCTCGGTTCTCTCGAAAGGGCAGGCAGATAAAACGATATCGGGCAGAAACGTGTTGCCGCGCCATGAAATTTGCATATGTCAATCAGAGCCGCGCATACACCGCCGCGATCCGACACACTCGAGAGCCGATCGTAGCGCAGAGGAGGTGGAGGACGGCAGGAAGACGGAGAGAAAAAGTGACATGTATCGCCAGATCGGCGAAATTATCGCGCCGCGGTCTAAGCGCGGCGGTAACGCTTGAGGTATCGCGCGGCGCGGTTCTCCCTTCTTTTTTTTTCCATTCTGCCTGAATAACCGCGAGAGCTAACGGAACACTTGTTTACACTGCTTTCGCAGTTCGACAATCCATAAATCGCGATTCGACGTCGAGGTGCGCGCACGCACGCACACACGCACACACGCACACACACACACACACACCACCCCCCGCTCCTCGCGCACTGCGAGCCGCGCGGCTCGCGTACGCTCGAGCGATTATGATTGGTCGAATAATTATGATCGGTAGCCTGTTTCGCAGAAAACCGGCGTATACGAATCGTCTCGCATGCCTGATCGTAATTAATAACGCAAAAGGCGCCCACAAAGCTGTCACGTCGCCGCGGCACGCCCGGACAGGGGCGGGCGGACGGGCGAGGTAGGGGTGGCGGGGAGGGAGGAAATTGCAATTTGCCGATAGGGAATAGGGAAACGCCTATGCGCTCTCGGCTTTGCAGCACGTCGTGTGCTTCTTTTTCTCCGCTTCGCTCCCTCTTTTCTCGCTCCTCGCATCCCGCGCGAGAACGGGGCAGACGTCGGCGCAACGTCAACGCTACGCGCTACGCTGCGCAGCGCGACGTGCCGCAACGCCACGCGCAACATGCGCGCGTGTGCAACGTCCCCGCCGCGTTATTATTATTATCATCATCATTTCTTTTATCCCCTATATCTCCTGCCTACCAACGCCTCCTTTTTCCCACTCTTCCTCTCTATCACCCTTATCCGCCGTCTTCACGACCGGGCTCGGACCGGCTCGATCGGGCTACCTAGTCCTTCGCGTTACGCATTCAGGTCTTGCCTAGATGCAGGATAATATTTCCTGTAACTGTATAACAGATTTACGAGCGAGTCACCTGGACGCGGTGTAGCGCGCGAGGGAGCGCGCGCGTGTGCGTGTGCGTGCGCACACGTTGCGGCCGGGATAGGAAGGCGGGATATCGCGGCTCGCTCGGCCGCGTGAAATCGGACTTAATTATACGGTTTTCGAGCGGAACGCGGCGCGGAGCTGCCGCGCCGATCCGCGTGGCAGCCGAGTTACATACTCGCCGCCGAGAGCGCGTCGGCGGCGGCGGCGGCGGCGGTGACGCGCGCTCCCACGAAATCGGTAAAGATCGGACGTGGATTGCGAGACGTGCTGGTAAAACCGGCGTCCCGACCGGTAACTTTTACTCACACCGGATCTCTCTTCGTGTCGAGTGAGAGTCGAGCGACATTGTCTCGCCGACGAAAGGAAACGTGCGCAGGGCGCGCGCGCGCGCGCGATACGAAGAGATCCTCGCGCGATCCGCGTCCCACTTCGCGGGTCATTTCGTATTTTCGCTCGCTCGACCTGGCTGGCGCGACACCCTCGGCGGCCGTGTTGTTCCCTCCTCTGCATCGAATCTGCAAATTCGAGAACACGAGTTACGTAACCGTCGGAGCGGATACTGGCATGGACCCATGGCGCGGCCCTTCGGACACTCACACTTATTTATTAGGCCTCTCTGCTCACGACAGCAGCGCGTTTCTTTCTTCTGTTCGGTTCATTTAACACCATTTTCCGCGGCGTTCATTTAACGCTCCATTAACAGCCTTTTCTTCGCGCGGCGAGCAACGAGAAACGAAAATTGTCTCGGTATAAATCTTCATATTTTTTTTCTTCCTCTTCAATTTCGCGCTGATTCATGACCCGCGCGCGTATCGGTAGACCCGAACGCGCAACGTTGAAAGTGCCTCCGTCTAAAAAGTGACTGCCTAATTTGCATAATGACGCCGGGCAAAAACCAGTCTAAGCTACAAGCGTTAAATAAACGTCAACACTCAGATGTTAGGTCTTCCGTGGCTTTTGTGAAATCGTTCGCGGACGCTTACGAAATCTCGATCGGCCTAATCGACATGTCGAATCGAAGAAACTTATTTTTACAGACGCGCGACCTGATTTCCTTTCCGGCTGCGGCCTTTGCGGACTCGCGCATCGGAAGGCGCGTGCGCGCGCGCGCGTAAATGGAACGACACGCGGGCACAATTAAATAGGCCGACTGTCCATTTAATTGCGGGTATAATTAATTTGACGCATTAGCGAGGAGCGGGCTCGTCGATAAATAACTTTCTAGGGAACTACTGATGCGTGATCGCGCGCCGTTATCACGCGCAGCGGCGTGTGCGATATCGCGCGACGCAATGGAAATATAGCGGCGGATTAGCGATGTAACGTTAAACGATACTATTGGTCGTTTTTTACGTGTATTATTGCGTCCGCGGCGGGCGACGGTGACGTTGATTAATGATACGCGAAGCCGATTCGCGCCGAGATAGAGCGCACGACGCGCGACTATCACGTCCCGTCGACGATTCCGATTTTCGCTATAATAATTATGATACACATAATTATATGTTCCCACATGCGCACCTCGACACCGCTACCCACGCTGCGCGTTAATACACGGGACGTTACGTAACAGCACGCACACTGTGTAGCGACAGCGAATGCAAATCCCGTCATTGCGCAACAGGGCTCGCGCTGTCCCTTATCGTAAAATCGCCATGCGCGCGCGCGCGCGCGCGCGTCTAATTTCAATTGCGCGCCGCAGTCACGGTAAAAA